AATATATAATAATAATAATATATATATAAAGAGAGAAAGAAAAAAAAAGAAATTAAAGAAAGAGAAAAAGAGAAAGAGAGAGAGAGAGAGAAAGAGATTTCGTAGAACACGTCAAGGCGAAGGATGACTAAGGTTTCTGGCATGACTTGACCTAACGGCGAGTAGGCATATACTCGAAGCAAAAGATCGATTCCTCGAGATAAGACTGCGGAAAGATCTTTTCTCTAGCTGGGCCCTGATCGTAATGCTCTTTCTTAACACTTTGCCGTTGCACGATTATAAATGCTAATTTATGATTTCCTCGCGTCACCCCTTTTTTCTTTTTTTAATATTTATTTCTATCTTTTTCTCTCTCTCTCTCTCTTTCTTTCTTACTCATTCTCTTGTCTTTCTTTTTTCTTTTCCTTTCTCTCTTTACCCCTACCCTCATCCCCTTCACTCTTTATATATATATATATATATATAATACATATTTCTTTATTTCTATCTCTCTCCTTTGTTCTATGATTTTATTTTTCAATACACACGTGTACACCACATACTGACTCACGTATCACTTACGTTAGCACTTAGGCTAAAATTTGATCCGTCTCTCTCTCTCTCTCTCTTTCTTTCTTTCTTTTTTTTTTTTATTAATTCGATTTATTTTAGAATTTGTTTTTGGTTATTTTTTTCCGTAATATATTACGTGTACGTGTTAATTATATGTGTGTTTGTTGTATTGTGTGAATGTGTGTGTTGAGAAAGAGAGTATTAAATAATAATGTTTATTTGATCATTTATATTTTCTTCTTTGATTAAAAAAAAAAACAAAAAGAGAGTTCTTCTTTCTTCTTCCTGATTTTATTGTTCTTTCATTTGATTTCATTTGATTTTGTGTAATTTCATTTTTGACGATTAGTTTCTTCGGGAATCAATCGATTTAATCGTCGATTATTGTTGTTGTTGTTGTTGCTTTTTCTTTTTTTGTTTTTGTTTGTAATTTTGTTGTTGTTGTTGAAATGATACAATTCTCGAAGGATTTCCTCCTTGTTCATTTGTCGAGCTAAGTGTCGAGGTAAATTGGCCGACAATGATGATAACGATGACGATGATGACGATGATGATGATGACGATGATGATGATGATGATGATGACGATGATATTATGCGGAAGCAAGTTGCCTCCAAACAGAGTGTCACATCGGGTTCATGTAAGGCCAATTGAAGCTGCTACCACTTAGCAACATATCTCTGATTAGGGTCTCGATAGGTGTTTTTCCAACCAATCGAACAAAAAACAATTGCTCGATAACTTGGGAGGATACTGTCCTCAATGATGGTAATCTTAATAACAATTTGCCGAACCTCGTTGGTTGATTAGGATAATGTGACCTACAATATTCTTCTAAGGCGCACTGAGATTTTTCTTGTAAGGATTCGATGTGGTTAACGTCCGACAATCCGCACGCGTCTGCAAAATAAAAAATATATAAATGATTAAATTATGTTAAGTATTGTTTTTTTAATGTGTTCTTGATTTCAATTTTATATTTTATTCATATATATATAAATTATGTTTCAATATATTGTTAATATGTAATAATTGATATATATATATTGATTTCAATTTTATATTTTATTCATATATATATAAATTACGTTTTAATATATTGTTAATATGTAATATAACATATACATATATTATA